GCTGGAACTGAAATTACAGATACATAAATACATCGAAAGGAAAAAGGGATTATCATCAAATCACTGAGAGAGAGGATCAACAACAAATTTCTTGGTTATTATTTGAACCAAGCTCTATATATGTATATATATATATATATATATATATATATATATATATATATATATTTTAATGTTAGCAAGCCCAACTTTTTTAACTTATGAGCTATGACCTAAATATATTCCTAAACCCCACATAAAGCCTGACATCTAACATAATCAAATCCAAATGAATTGACGCCTAAAACTTCCTAAATCAATAAACATATTGACACATTTGACATTGACGATCACCAAGTTTTGAAATCCCTCAAAAACTTGATCAATCTATCGATCTTTCATAATCCATTGTTTGATTTCGGCGCACATCATCAAGACATCAACCAAATGATTCAACCAACTAAGATTTGGCTTCTATTTTGTTCGGTCAAGAACTCAAGACGCAAGAATTGAAGGTTGTGAAGTCGTGGATTTTGTTACTCAATACTCACAGTGGAGTTGTAAATTTGTTAATTTGTTTGTTTTCTAATATGTATTATATATTTATTCGTTTGAACTTTGGATTGTTTGGATTTTGGACTCAAGAGCTACTTAATCATTACATGTATTTGTTTGGATATTTTGTTTTGTTAAAATGGATATTTAATCTAAAATTCTAAATTATATATGTATTTAAAGTTTAATATTTAAATTCCATTAAAAACCCAAACTGCCTAAACCGGTCAGACCAGACCGTATTTTCGTGGTCTGGTTTGACCGATCTGGGCACTTAATGTCAAACCACTCGATTTGAAAATTTTATAAACCGTCATTAGGGTTTGGTTTGTGTCTAAGGAGTTAAACCGTCAAAACCGGACCGCAAACACCCCTAATTTTGGCAGTTTGGGGGAGAGAGAAGGAAGAAAGTAGCAAAATATATGGATCTTAAGCTTATCAATTTCATCAACATCATCAGGGGTGTGTGTATATATACACACACACAATATATACATATGTATATAATTTGAAATTTGAAGTAGAAAAGATAACAACTATCCTAGATGATATGATTACAATGCTAATTACAAGGAGCAAATTCATACATATGATAGAGAACGAATCCAAGGGATATGAAGGCTTATTCTAGAGGCTGATTTGGTGTGTTTCGATGCATCTCTATCATAAAATACAGCGTTCTTAGTTTCTATATATGTAGTTTGGATCTCCTCCATTGTAATGTTGAAGAAGATGTTCTAGCCCAATATGAAGGCACAACTTTGTAGATGACTGAGATCTAATTGTACATAGCCTTACAAAGGAAAAAAAACATGAGCATCGATCCCATACCTCGGCATGTATATTGGATCGATTGATCGTTATATGTCTTATTTGTTTTTTTTTACTGAATAGGTAAAGGAGAAAAGGGATCTGTAGCTACCCACAACCTCCAACGAGATTAAAATCCTTGGATAATGTCGTAGTCGCTTATGTAGAAGCTACATGGACTGTTCGGATCATCGAATGAATCTTGAAAAATGGGATTAGATAACATGTCCAGATGATTGTTTTCAAGCTCCAAGTTCTCAAATGGGCAAAGCTGTTGCCAAAAATATTGAAGATCATCAACTGTTCCTGGTGAACCAAGATCAAAATAATCAGCTCTATTGTCGATTTGGTGATGCTCTATGGAAGTAGTAGTGCTGCTGCTAGATGAAAATATATCATCTTCGAAAGTCAAGCAGGACTCAGAAATATCATAGTTATGATTAGCAGGCTGTTGTAATATTTCCTCAACATTATCAGGTTTAAACGTCATTGATGTTCTCTTATCATTTTGGTTGGTTGTTTTAGGAACCATGTTGTGATCAGTCAGACGTTTCTTGAGATGGGCATGCCAGTGGTTCTTTATTTCGTTATCAGTCCTTCCAGGAAGTCTCGATGCAATTGCTGCCCACCTGAATCATATGTCCTAATTGATTAGATAAGCAAGAAAACACACACACACACACATATATATATATGTACATACCTATTCCCGAGAAGCAAATGAGAATGGAATATGATGTCTTCTTCTTCCTTGGAAAAGTTCCCCCTTTTTATATTAGGTTTAAGATAATTCATCCATCGGAGTCGACAACTCTTCCCACTTCTTGACAACCCTAGAAACGGAAGAATTGAAAAAACGATGAGAAATGCTATTACTTCAGTAACATATAATTAAGATGTCAAGATCCTAAAACAGGTTTTCTGCTATTTACCAGCAAATCTGGGCATCTGCGACCAGTTCCAGATGCCATATCTGCTAATATAAGAAATCAACATCTGATCTTCTTCACGACTCCATGAACCTTTCTTTAAACCAGTCTTGATGTCACTAGTTGGAGTCCTCATCACCGCTGAGTATTAACTAATAATATCAAATCCGATGTGTGTGTGTGTGTATATATATACTGGTGCTTTGTAATAGCAAGTACGGAAATTGGTCCCTCCCTCTCCAAGAAGGTTCCACCATTAATGATATTAGTTTTGCTATGTGCACGTTGGTCAATGCAACTATGCAGGCATTTTTTATTTCTAGAAACATTTGTCTTCGTAAAAAAAACATATCTTGTTATTAATTACATTTGTCTTATGAAAAATGTTCAAATATTTGCTATCCAATAATTCTATGAACTTAAAAATATCATTAAGTACTTTATTATAACACTATACTTATGTTCTTCGCTTTCTATTCCCTGATTCTAATTTGTAGACTCCCAATCTTTTTCTACATCTCGCATGAAGATCATGTTTTTCTGTGTTGTTTTTTTTATACATTTATCCTTTTTATAATAAAATGATGCAATATTATGTCTCGAGGTCTCATGTTCGAATATAAGGAGGAATAAAATCCCCTTGTAGTCATGAGGTTCAAATTCACAGATGGTCCAGAAATTAGTCGACTATCATAACGGGTTAGATATCTAAAAAAAATCTATCATCGTTGCAGAAAGAACCCCAAGAGTTCAATTCTTAGTAATGAAATGGTTAATATTCAATTGTAATTTGGTATTACTTGTTAAAGAGACCGTAAATAATATAAATTGCTTGAAATTGAATAATTAGTTTCAATTTTATGCGCGCGATTAAAAGAAAATGGATAGTCCTACAATCAATTTTTATCATTAGTTTATATTTATTTCCCCTTGATATTATCAAGGAGAGAGCAATATAAAAATATTGCCGATCATCACATTTTCTTGTGATCATTGTACCTATAAATTTGGTTTTGAAAATAACTCAATTAATGATTGATTACCTTATTTTAGTAGTTATCAATTGTGACTCTTGACATATTAATGTTGGTCACGGTTCCAGCATCTTCCTAAATCGAAACGTGGCGCTGGCTGCTACGCTATAAGAGAAATAAGGTTGCGCCTTCACCAAGACAATTGCTTTTGGTGTAGTGGGTAAGCGCTTGATCCTAACAATTGGTATCAGAGCAGGTCACGGGTTCGAATCTCATGGTGTGCATAATATGCAAGGAGTGCATAATTATGAGAAAGGCATGTTGTGCGGCCATTGACTTCTAACGAAGCTCTTATTAGTACCGGCAGATGCTGGGGGGGGGGGAGGGATTGTTGATCACTGTTCCAGCATTTTCCTAAATCGAAACGTGGCGCTGGCTGCTACGCTATAAGGGAAATAAGGTTGCGCCTTCACCAAGACAATTGCTTTTGATGTAGTGGGTAAGCGCTTGATCCTAACAATTAATTAACTTAAAATAAACTAAAAAAACATCAGATAAAAGTTAAACTTTCTAAAGTGTTCCGGTTTGGCCATCTAACTTACCCTTATGTATCACTTGTCATTGACTATTGTTTGTGACAATTTGAAGTTAAATTACCATAATATGGATCTTCTTTCAAGAAGTTTGTTGTTACATAAAGTAAAGGGATTCTTGTCAATTTTAAAAACTTACAATACTATATCTAATATATTCTTCAAAATAAAAAAAATAGAGATTTTGATGATTTTGTTCAGGCATTTTTTTTTCTCCAACGGATTATCCAAAATCTTTCTCCAAATGGAGAAAGTAGAAGAGAGAGTGAAAAATCTTCCCATTCGGAAAAAAACCCAAGAGAATAATATTATTTAATATATTTCCACCGATAGAAAAATTTTGAAAAATAAATATTTATAGAGAGAGATAATATTTTCTTAGATAAAAGAAACATTTTTTTATAATATTGTCAATGTTATAATCTCCAAAATGGAGAATCTATTGGAGTTGAATATATTTTTGTTTTAGAGATTTTGAAGTTTCATTCTCCATTTTAAAAAGTTAAACATTTTTTATAATGAGCCACGAATGCCTCAAACTGCTTGGTCAACTCCTTCTACCGACGTAACTCCTCTGCTTGCTAAGCTATATCATCTGCTTGTGCCTTTTGTGCGCGCTCCATTTCTTCCATCTTTCTCTGTACTTCCTCCAATTGCTGCTCATAGGTCATCAGCTTCTCTTTCAGCACATCTATCTGAAAGTATTCAACATTTGACAAGCATCGAACAATTTTAGGCGATAAATGATTAAACAATGTACATATATTACAATTACATGAAACATACCTCATCATCACGAGCACCATACGATGTCCCGCTGCTACTGGCGCCGGGATGACCAGTCATAACAATCCAGGCGTCATGACTGAACCCAAATCCGAACATGCTACCCTTGCACCGGCCTCGAACACTGCATTCCCACAACCTTGGGTCATCGGGAGGAATAGTGCTTGGATTTGAGCCAACATATGTCTTCTCTTTAAGCTGTGAATATGATGCCTACAATTTATTAGAACAAATATATGTTAACTAAGTTGTAGACAGTTCGACAGCAGAAGGATGTAATTCGAACATATATGTTACCTGCTAAAAACAAATATAATGCAACTATAACATTTACACCTATCGTCCGCCCAACAACAATTGCAACCTAAAGTAACTAATAGTTATATATCCTATAAAACTAACCAATCCTATAAAACAAACTAAATCTGGTACGAAAATGAACTTACCACCACATCAGCCGCTTTCGAGTAAATGTATATCGGAGGATCTATAGGTAGATCGGTGGCACACAAAACAGGCTTCCTATTGCTATAGTGTATCCTGTCAAAAACAAAACTGACTAGTAGTGGGCTCACAAAGGTATGCATCTCTCTACAATAGACAACTAAAATTGTTAGTAGACAACAAGTTCATAAATTATACACAGTTAGTATAGTAGAAGATAAAATACCATGCATACCCTGCTGAATCATACTAATAGATCTAACGATGTGCCTGGAGGACATCACCTATACTCAGTGGGACGATTGTCCTTGTTGGCCACAACTTGACGCTTAAATGTGTCAGTAGACCACGCATGTTAAAACCCAACACATAAATCAATATAAAAACTATTATAACTGGTTACAAAGATAATAATCATACGTAACGTATCGATCATAGCAAGCCAATGCACATATGGGATCCAATCTTGGTGGTGTCATCTGAGTGGCGTGTAGTCCTGACCGTCAAACTGTATGTGATCGATGTCAAGTGTCTATTTAATGGACCATTTCTAGGCATTCTTCATCAAGTCCTCGTACCTATTATTCAAGGTATAACGGAAGGCATAGAAAATGTTTGCCTCTACATGAGACTCCTAGCTAAACCAACCCTACACATATTGTTTGTATTAAGTAAAAGAATTGAACCAAATAGTTTGTATCGACCAAAATACAAACCCGAAAATGCTCGAACATGAGCTTGAGGTGATCCTCAGGGACACCCCTAAAGTGGGCCCACGAACCGGCGAACATGGACCAGAATATCATTGTGACCTTCTAAACAACACTCGGCTCTATAAACCTTCACAATTGCAAAATTATACAACACAACAAACATTAGTATCAATTTGTTATGTACTAGTATAAAACCTTATACATATATAGCTAATTACCCGCCACCAGAAGTTTGGATCTCCGATCGCTGAGTCGAATGCCTAGGCGTCTCCTACAAACTATTGCGGCCTCGAGTCCTTGACTCCGATCTAGAAGACGGGCCCATAACTACATTATCATGTGGATGGATCTGATCTAGTCCCTCTATGAAAGTGGCAACGACATAATCATCGGTCTCATCGGTGTGAGAGTTACTACACCCGACCGAGCTGCTACTACCCCAATTGGATCCTCTACCCCTACCCCTGTTACCGCAACCCATTTGAAATAAGAAATTGTTTTGTTGTTCCAAATTTAAAATGTAGGTGTAAATGTATAAATGTACAACAATCATAGGTATTTAAAGGAACTTAGAGAAGATTTAGATGACTTTAAAACCATAAGTTCATATATACAGACACAAAGATATAACTATTGTGAACTATTGTCTACATAAGTAACATATACTAGTCGTCATATGAATGATCAGATAACATAGGTTCTTCTTCGTTATCTGGACGATGAGCTCAAATCGGATACCGTGGCGATAGTGGAAGGTGTTGCAACAATAGAGACAATGGTCGACGGTGATGGTGGCGTTGGAGAAAGTAGTTTAGTGTGAGATACGTCTGCGATGGGGATCACGATTTTTGTGTGAGATGCGTCCGAGATTCTGAGATTAGGGTTTAAAGCCCAGTTTTTTTTAATCAAAAAATTTAAAACATCGACGGATTTCTGACGAAATTTTTGTCGGTAATTAGGGACGGATATCCGACGACTTTTCAGTTTTTAAAAATATATTGATAACAAAGTTATTAAATATATATTGAATTATTAAATATTAAATAATTTATTAAATGATATTTAATTCTAAATTATTAAATTACTATTTTCTAATGACTAAAATACCCTCATTTAACCGGGTGATGATGGAATTATTAGAAAAACGTTTATAATGACTACAATACCCTGATTTGATTGAACATAACGAAAAAAAAAGTTAACGCATGTTAAGAGGAATTGGATACTGAAGTCGTCATCGTCGTCTTCATCATCGTCATTGTCACCAAGATCATTGTTGGCATAAGGGAGATGAGGTTCAGTGTCCTCATATTCATCATCGTCTTATCATCATCTTTATCACCAACATTTGGTAATGCAACAGTAGAGGGATGGTCTTCATGATCAGCAGGAGCGATCACGGCATCATCATCGTCTTCAGTGATCATGGCATCCTCAACATCTACATGAGGGATCAGGGGAGCATCTTCAACGGTAGGATCATCTATAGTTTCCATAACAACAATTTTATCTTCATCTTTCTCCCACTCTTTTTTGTTATCAAGACGAGAGGAAACGTCATTAAAATGAGAGGATAGATCTTTTAAGTTGTGCTCAAAAGTAGATAGATCTTCAGCCTAAAGAATG